CACAATGCGGGATCCCCATCATCCGATTCTTACATCGCTGGATCTTTGAAAGATGTTCTTCTGCACTAGGAGACGCTTTCGGAGCTGTATTTTGACATTCTTTGGCCAACAGTTGCAGCATTTTTCTCGTTGAAAATTAACGAGGAGCAGTGTTTTCGGTGATAATTAAGAATCGAGACTGTCATTTATTTTAGGCCGTGTTTGTGAACGATCCGAAACTTTCGGATCTGAAACACCTGTTATCATCGAATGGATTTCGGGCAGAATTCAGTTCTGGTGTGTTGTATGTCAACAATGTTGCTAGCATCCGACGTAACGAAGCTGGACGTTTTCACGTGGAAGGCTGCGCTAGTGAAGACTATTATAAAATACGGGATATTGTCTATGCACAGTTTGCTGTTGTGTAATCTTTGTTGTTGATCTTCTATTAATTTATTCGAGCATTTTTATGAGTTTTTAAGCATTATAAGCGATTTCGCAATAATTTTGAACAGTGTCGCTGAATATCCTCCGCTGAATTGCTGTTTCTTTTATTAAGGGGCTGAATATTTGTCGCCTCTCATTGCAGAATGTTGACTCGATTGAAACTAGAAGCACTCTAGGCGCTTTGACTTTACCCCCGTAACGCACCATTTGTCGATTTGGGACGGAATGGTAAAAATTTGGTATTAGTTACATCGAATTTTCTTGAAGAGGAGTAGGAAATGAGTAAAAGCCCAGAAAAATCATTCAGAATGGCGCAAAATTTTAGCAGCTGTGCATGGGATTTTGCATCGAATTGAAGTATTAAATGGCTTCAGAAAGTAGATAAGCTGATCAAAGAATGCCAGAAACTGTGATCAAAAAGAGACGCCACTGCTTGCAGAGATGAATTGAGAAAGGAAGGAACAGTATTTTGTGCGATTTTTGATCTCGATGCGTTGATGAGTTCATTAGAATATTGGACTTGTCACAACGCGTTTTCGTTGGAATTATGTACAAAGTTTTAAATTTTGTCTATCTTCGTAAAATATAAATTTTGCATAACAGGACTGCGCCATGCATTCCCGAAGGCGGTCAATGTCGATCCCCGTCATGATTCATTTTGGACAACAGGCGGAGGCACATGGAATAGTCTGTGTAGTAACAGCAACCACCAGCTTGCTCACTTCTTCATATGGGTGCTTTCGAACAAGATGGCAACACAGGATATGCCTTCGGTAGATGGATACTTATGGGACAATTACAAAAACTCGGCTCGGCAGATGGTCGATAGTGTTTGAATGTGCTCTAGCATCTCTGCTAACGCTACTTCGCAGCGTCCGGAACCGCTCGGCAGTTTGCCAGGCGCCCTGGGTAGCGCTACTTCTGAACATAACCGACGGTGGCCTTTGACCACATGGATGTTAAGATGACTTTCACGTCCTCTTCATGTCTCACGTACGTCTCACGTGCGCACGCGTGAAATTTTGCTTAACTTCGCAGTCGAAACAGCTAGAACGCCGAAATTTTTTGAGCATGACCCAAGACCCTTGTTGAGCAAGCGCATATG